GGCCTATTTTATGTTCAGCCCATTTATTTCTCGTTACTAGGCCCGTTTTGACTTCTGTTCGTTTTGTGTTTCGGCCACCCTTGTTTTGTGTGGCTTCCCGACGCACTTTGGAAGTTCACGCAACCCTTTGTGCTCGCTAGACGGTTTTTAAAAGAATCAAGCACATAACATGCAAAAAAAATGATGAAAAGAACAAAAAGGAGTGCAACACGAGGACTTCCCAGGGGGTCACCCATCCTAGTACTACTCTCGCCCAAACACGCTTTACTTCGGAGTTCTGATGGCATCCGGTGCATTAGTGCTTGTATGATCGCACCCATCAAGTGTTGCCCGCATGATGTTCTTATTCCTAATCCGCCGGTATTGCTCATAGTTTAAGCAACAAACTTAACTTAAGAGTACTGATGGGATCCGGTGCATTAGTGCTTGTATGATCGATCCCATGATGCATAATTTTAGTGGGCGAAATGGTAATACACGGGGTCGAAGACACACCCTATCGATCTTGGGCATGTTTGCCCTCCTCATTAACCTTTAAGCGTGGTGATTACGCTGTTTTGGGCATAACTTTTGCTAGGAGTGTCCGTTTCCAGCGTGCGAGCACTTTCCGGAAAGGTCTCAACGAGACGCACAGGGGGGATGAGTCGGAGACCCATCGGGGCTAAGTTTGGACCTCAATTTCACTCGTTTCCGGGCCTGTGGCCTATTTTATGTTCAGCCCATTTATTTCTCGTTCCTAGGCCCGTTTTGACTTCTGTTCGTTTTATGTTTCGGCCACCCTTGTTTTGTGTGGCTTCCCGACGCACTTTGGAAGTTCACGCAACCCTTTGTGCTCGCTAGACGGTTTTTAAAAGAATCAAGCACATAACTTGCAAAAAATGATGAAAAGAACAAAAAGGGGTGCAACACGAGGACTTCCCAGGGGGTCACCCTCATTTTGGGTTTCAGCCACCCTTGTTTTGGGTGGCTTCTCGACGCACTTTGGAAGTTCAAGCAACCCTTTGTTCTCGCTAGACGGTTTTCAAAAGAATCAAGCACATAACATGCAAAAAAATGATGAAAAGAACAAAAAAGAGTGCAACACGAGGACTTCCCAGGGGGTCATCCATCCTAGTACTACTCTCGCCCAAGCACGCTTAACTTCAGAGTCCTGATGGAATCATTAGTGCTGGTATGATCGCACCCATCAAGTGTTGCGCGCATGATGTTTTTATTTCTAATTCGCCAGTATTGCTCATAGTTTAAGCAACACACTTAAATTAGGAGTACTGATGGGATCCGGTGCATTAGTGCTTGTATGATCGATCCCATGATGCGCAATTTTAGTGGGCGAAATGGTAATACACGGGGTCGAAGACACACCCTATCGGTCTTGGGCATGTTTGCCCTCATCGTTAACCTTTTAGCGTGGTGATTACGCTGTTTTGGGCATAACTTTTGCTAGGAGTCTCCGTTTTTAGCGTGCGAGCACTTTCCGAAAAGGTCTCAACGAGACGCAAAAGGGGGCGATGCGTCGAAGACCCATCGGGGCTCAGTTTTGACCTCAATTTCGCTCGTTTCCGGGCCTGTGGCCTATTTTATGTTCAGCCCATTTATTTCTCGTTTCCTAGGCCCGTTTTGACTTCTATTCGTTTTGGGTTTCGGCCACCCTTGTTTTGTGTGGCTTCCCGACGCACTTTGGAAGTTCATGCAACCCTTTGTGCTTGCTAGACGGTTTTTAAAAGAATCAAGCACATAACTTGCAAAAAAATGATGAAAAGAACAAAAGAGGTGCAACACGAGGACTTCTCAGGGGGTCACCCATCCTTGTACTACTCTCGCCCAAGCACGCTTAACTTCGGAGTTCTGATGGGATCCGATGCATTAGTGCTGGTATGATCGCACCCATCAAGTGTTGCGCGCATGATGTTCTTACTCCTAATCCGCCGGTATTGCTCATAGTTTAAGCAACAAACTTAACTTAAGAGTACTGATGGGATCCGGTGCATTAGTGCTTGTATGATCGATCNAAATGATGAAAAGAACAAAAGAGGTGCAACACGAGGACTTCTCAGGGGGTCACCCATCCTTGTACTACTCTCGCCCAAGCACGCTTAACTTCGGAGTTCTGATGGGATCCGATGCATTAGTGCTGGTATGATCGCACCCATCAAGTGTTGCGCGCATGATGTTCTTACTCCTAATCCGCCGGTATTGCTCATAGTTTAAGCAACAAACTTAACTTAAGAGTACTGATGGGATCCGGTGCATTATTGCTTGTATGATTGATCCCATGATGCCCAATTTTAGTGGTCGAAATGGTAATACACGGGGTCGAAGACACACCCTATCGGTCTTGGGCATGTTTGCCCTCTTCGTTAACTTTTTAGCGTGGTGATTACGCTGTTTTGGGCATAACTTTTGCTAGGAGTGTCCGTTTTCAGCGTGCGGGCACTTTCCAGAATGGTCTCAACGAGACGCACAGGGTGCGATGCGTCGGAGACCCATCAGGGCTCAGTTTTGACCTCAATTTCGCTCGTTTCCGGGCCTGTGGCCTATTTTATGTTCAGCCCATTTATTTCTCGTTTCCTAGGCCCGTTTTGACTTCTGTTCATTTTGGGTTTCGGCCACCCTTGTTTTGTGTGGCTTCCTGACGCACTTTGGAAGTTCACGCAACCCTTTATGCTCGCTAGACGGTTTTTAAAAGAATCAAGCACATAACTTGCAAAAAAATGATGAAAAGAACAAAAGAGGTGCAACACGAGGACTTCCCAGGGGGTCACCCATCCTGTAATGCATTGCAACCCGGTCTAATAGAGTTGATTATTTTAATTAATTAATTACTGTTCCGGACCGGAGTTGGGGAAATAAAAAGTTCTTAGAAAAATTATTTGATCACATCATTAAATTCATTTTGACTGTCTGATTCCAGAAACGCAAACGAATCTCAATTCAGACCCATTCGGGGGGAAAAGCGCGTACCGTTCAGGTCAGATTTTACATAACGGAGTAAAGTGAATATTTGTAACCTCCATCCAATTCACACGCCACCTTACTCATGCCCATTTAAGTCCCCATTATTTTCTTCATTATTATTCTCATTTTAAAACCCCCATCCCATCCCTTTCCTCCTTCACTTTTTGTAACCCCCATATTCAACACACACTCTCTCTCTTCCCTTTCCTTTTGTTCGGCCAGACCAGTAGCAAGGAGGACCTCCGGCGAAGCTCCGGCGGGTGCAAGGTTGAAGGAGAAGAAGGGCTAGGCCGTTCGTGCGAAGCGTAGTCGTTGTTCGTCCGTTCGTTGGTTCCTTGCTAACCGTTTGTTCATCTCGTCTCATAGTTTCGTCAACCCCTTCGTTTAGAGGTGAGTAGTTGTACCCTCTAACTCTAGAACATTTAGTTATAATCTATGTCGTTGTATTCATAGAAATATCGTACGCAACCTACGTAGAATCTATGCATGTTCTTAGGTTAACCATAAAAAAAAACGTTGTTGAATTAATAAGGGAGAAATGTTCTGTATATTGAATTGTTCTTCCTAGTTGCAAGAGGTTTCTCCTGTAATTATAGAGAGGATAGATTCCCAAAATAGACAGGGGAATACAAATCCTACAAGGAAATGAATAAGCAATCAAACTAGGAGACAAACGAATCGAATTCGGTAATCTCAGGACCGGATTTCTCGGAAATCGGATTTCTCAGAAATTGGATTTCTCGGGAGTTGGATTTCTCAGAAGCCGGAATCCTCGGAAATTGGATTTCTTGGAAAATGGATTTCTCAGAAAAACCGGATTTCTCGGAAATCGGATTTCTCGGAAATTGGATTTCTCAGAAACTGGATTTCTCGTAAGTTGGACTACTCAAAAACGGATTACTCGAGAACTAGAAATACATTCATCAAAGTTTTATTATCATAATTAATCCTCATTATTTTTGTTATATAATTGATGTATTCTCGGCATTTACCAAAGGTAAGAATATCAAGCATCCATCATGCTCATTCTAGACGCATGTTTTAGGTGTCATCATGTGCATACCGCTGTAGGGAGGACTTCGTGTGCCTACTACAGTGGGCCCGTCCAGGAACCCTTGGGGTCCAACGGGTTTTCATCATGTTGGGCTTGTGTACGTACATAGTAGTCAGGCTACGGCTACTACCCGGTTTTGCTAGTCCACTCGCGACATTTTCGTCGTGCCCGGCTCGTTACCGTTCGGGGACGATGACCGGAGTGCAGGGGTGATCCTGTCGAGTGAGACTAAGTCAGGAGTGTCTCAGATAGTCAAGTCATGCATCAAGTCATATCATCATCACGTATGAACCAATCGCCTTGTTATTTGTAATAGCTCTAACGGGTGGAACTAAACAATTAGTAACATGGGGTTTTTCCCGTACGTTAAGTACATGTATTAATATGTGTATAGCCATATGGGTTATCACTTAATGTTCTTTTGTTAGATTCACTCCTCAGCTTTTTGCTGAGCGTGTAGTTGTTTTTGCTACACGCAGGTAGACATGACGGTACTGGTCCCAACCCTGGAGAGCAGTGACGATGGGGAGATGGGCGGCGCGCGGACAAGCTTATATCTAATCTCGTTTACTTAATTAATCATTTGGGCATGAACCCACCCTTGTCATTATTTATTTGGACTGGACTTATTTATTTACTTCCGCGTTTACTCCGCACTTTTATACACACGTTTTGGGAGTAACTCCCCGACATTTATTTCACTAAATTAATCACATGTATGTTATATTGTAGTTAGTTCTTATTTACGTTATTCCTCTAGAAAATGAGCCAAGCCGCTGGCAACGACGGACAGGCTGTCCCAGAGGGTGAGCATGAGCATGTGAGCGTGCACACTGAAGCGTCGAGCTTCACACCCCAGCAGGCCTCTGAGCAGGCGGTTCTGGGTGCGGGCCCGATTCCTGAAGCTGTCCCTATCATTCAGCCGCAACTCGCGGCTAACTTCATGAACTTTCTCCAGCAGATGGCTGGAGCATACGTGCCACACCGCCGCCACCACCGCCACAGGCGGTAGTGGTCACTATCGAGAAGCTCCAGAAGAACGGGGCTGAGGAATTTCTAGGCGATCAGATCGCCGACCCCATGATCGCGAAACGGTGGTTTGAGCGAACCATTCGGGTACTAGGGAACCTGAGGGTTCCGCAGGAGCAGCGTGGCGACCTCGCAGTTACCTTACTACAGGATTCCGCCTATGACTGGTGGAAACGCGTAGGAGCAGACCTTCCGGAGCCCGTGCAGTGGGCCACTTTTGACCGACTCTTCCATGAGGAGTACATCCGGAGCACTTCGTCGAGGCGAAGCGGGAGGAGTTCTTGAAGTTCACCCAGGGTGAACTTACGCTACCTGAGTATCGTCAGAAGTTTGACGAGCTCGCGGGGTTTGGGCAAGACCTCGTACCGACGGTGGAGAAGCGGTGCAAATGCTTCGTGGAGGGCTTACGTCCTGACCTTTCAACTCATCTGATCATTGCTCAACGAAGTGACATCAACGCGTTGTACAAGAATGCGTTGGACCTGAATGCGGCTCTCATTAAGAAAGCTGAATTCGAGCAGGCGCAGGGGGCGTCAGCAGTACCATCCCGTCCTCCTCCACCCTAGAAGGCGGGAACCAGCAGCAAGAGGCCCTTTGCAGCACCGAGTAGCTCTCACCAGAGCAAGAAGGTGAAGTCAGCCCCAGCTCAGTCATCGGCGTCCGTGCAAAAGAAGGGCAAGAGCGGAGATGGGTTCCGCAACCCGATTTGCGACCATTGTGGGCGCAGGCACCCAGGGGAGTGTTGGTACACTCTGGGCTTGTGCCTTGGATGTGGCCAGGCCGGGCATTTCCGAAAAGATTGTCCGAAGAATCCGGGTGAGGCATTTCCGTCCGCACCGGCCGCTTCAGCCCCAGCAGCGCAGCCCGCCTAGAGTCAGAAGTCGGCGGTAGCATCTAGCCAGCCCAAGCGGCAGGCATCTGGCGCTCAGGCGGGGAAGGCCCCGGCCCATACTTACGCGATGCGAGGGCGCACCGAGCAGCCAGCCCATGACGTCATCATGGGTATGTTTACCTTATTCGATACATCTATTACAGCCTTGATTGATCCGGGTTCCACTTTATCATATGTTTGTATGCCTATTCCTGATATGCCCAACATTCCGAGGGAAGATTTAGACAACCCGGTAATTGTGTCCAACCCATTGGGACACAGTCTACGACTCACCCATGTGTATCACGATTGCCCATTAGTGGTCCAGGGAAAGACCTTCCCTGCAAGTCTCATTGAGCTTCCACATCGTGAGTTTGACGTCATTCTAGGCATGGACTGGCTCACTGCCAACCAAGCCGTTGTCGACTGTGGAGCGCATACGGTTCGGCTGAGAGCCGAAGACGGTAGTGATGTACTGATCCGTGGTGAGCTTCTTCCGAAAGCTCCAAAATTCATTTCCTACCTCCATGCTCGCCGACTCATTCGAAAGAAGTGTGAAGCATTCTTGTGCACAGTGCGTGACACTCGTCAGGAGGCGCCTAGTAGGGGGGACATCCCTACGGTATGTGACTTTCCTGACGTGTTTACAGATGACTTACCTGGTCTACCGCCCCCTAGGGAGGTAGAGTTTTCCATTGATCTTGTTCCAGGAACAGGACCAATCTCGATCACACCTTATCGCATGGCGCCTGCAGAGATGAAGGAGCTGAAGGCTCAACTGCAGGAGTTGTTGGATAAGGGCTTCATCCGACCCAGTGTGTTCCCTTGGGGAGCACCGGTTCTGTTCGTCCGCAAGAAGGACGGATCGATGCGGTTGTGCATTGATTACCGTCAGTTAAACAAAGTCACCATCAAGAATCGCTATCCGCTACCACGCATTGACGATTTGTTCGACCAGCTTAGAGGAGCCACGGTTTTCTCTAAGATCGATCTCCGGTCAGGATACCATCAGATCCCCGTTAAGAAGGAAGATATTCCTAAGACAGCATTTCGCACTCGGTACGGTCATTATGAGTTCACGGTCATGCCCTTCGGGTTGACTAACGCACCAGCAGTGTTCATGGATCTGATGAACAGTGTGTTCCGGAAGCATCTTGACCAGTTTGTGGTAGTCTTCATCGATGACATCTTGGTGTACTCCAAGACACAGGAGGAGCACGCTGAGCACTTACGCATTGTCCTGAGCATTCTTCGGGAACAACAGCTTTATGCCAAGCTGTCCAAGTGTGAGTTCTGGCTGCACGAGGTTACCTTCCTCGGCCATGTCATTTCAGCCGAAGGGGTGAAGGTAGACCCGTGTAAGATAGCAGCGATCACGGAGTGGAAGACTCCGCGTAATGCTCGTGAGGTGAGGAGTTTTCTCGGACTGGCAGGTTACTATCGTCGGTTCGTGAAGGACTTCTCCAAAATAGCATCGCCACTGCACAAGCTGATGAGGAAGGACGTTAAGTTCGTTTGGACTGATGCCTGTCAGCAGAGTTTCGAGCAGCTGAAGGAGTGTCTGACCCAGGCACCGGTCCTAGTCCAGCCCACTCCAGGAGTGGAGTATACGGTTTTCAGCACGCGTCCCATAACGGCTTGGGGTGTGTTCTCATGCAGGAAGGCAAGGTCGTTGCGTATGCATCTCGGCAGCTGAAGCCGCACGAGTGTAATTATCCGACACACGACCTAGAGCTAGCAGCCATTGTACTTGCCTTGAAAATCTGGAGGCATTACCTCTACGGCGAGACGACACGTATCTTCACCGACCATAAGAGTCTTCAGTATCTGTTGACGCAGAAGGATCTAAATCTCCGGCAGAGGAGGTGGTTAGAGTTGATTAAGGACTATGACTGTCACATCGCTTACCACCCAGGTAAGGCGAATGTGGTAGCCGATGCCCTTAGTCGTAAGACTCTAGCTGTGCTATACGTCCAGCCTACATTACAGCAGCAGATAGCCTCCGCCCAGAGCAGCGATGACTTCTGTATTCAGACCATTGAGCTCGTCTCTCGAGGAGAGAAGCCGGATTTTGCAGTTCGGGATGGTATCTTGTACTATCGGGAGCGTATGGTTGTGCCAGCGGGGGAGTTGAGAGAACGCCTGCTTCGCGAAGAACACAGTACTGTGTATACCATGCACCCGGGCAGTAACAAGATGTTCCAGGACCTTAGGAGACATTACTGGTGGCCCGCGATGAAGCGGGAGATCACTGAATTCACGTCGCGGTGTTTGACTTGTCAGCAGGTCAAGGCCGAGCACCAGGTTCCTTCAGGATTGCATTAGCAGATCACCATTCCCAAGTGGAAGTGGGATCGCATTACGATGGATTTCGTCGTGGGACTGCCATTGTCACCACGTAGGCACGACACAGTTTGGGTCATCGTTGATCGGTTGACCAAGTCAGCACATTTTCTCCCCATTCGTCGTGACTTTTCACTCCAGCGCTTAGCGGAGTTGTACATCCGCGAGATCATCAGGCTACATGGAGTACCGTCATCTATCATTTCGGATCGTGACCCTCGATTCACATCACAGTTTTGGAAGAGTCTACAGAGGGCATTGGGTTCCGATCTCCATTTTAGTACGGCATTCCACCCTCAGACAGACGGTCAGTCTGAAAGGGTGATTCAGATTCTTGAGGACATGATGCGTGCGTGTGCAATCGACTTTGGGGACGGTTGGGAGAAATACCTGCCACTCATGGAGTTTGCATACAACAATAGTCATCAGGCTAGCATTGGTATGGCACCATATGAGGCTCTGTACGGTAGACCCTGTCGTACCTCTACTTGTTGGACAGAGCTTAGTGAGAGGAGGCTGGCAGGGCCTGATCTCGTTCGCAAGACCGAGGAGAAGGTCCAGGTGATTAAAGATCGACTTAAGGCGGCTTCGGACCGACAGAAGTCCTACGCTGACCTTAAGAGGCGTGACATCGAGTATGCAGTCGGGGATAAGGTTTTTCTGAAGGTGTCACCTTGGAAAAACGTCCTACGTTTCGGCAAGAGGGGTAAATTGAGTCCGAGGTTTATAGGCCTGTACCCGGTCACGGAGCGGGTAGGACCTGTAGCTTACAGGCTCGAGTTACCATCGGAGTTGAGCAAGATTCACGATGTTTTCCACGTGTCCATGCTTCGGAGGTACCGGTCGGATCCATCTCATGTGATACCAGCTCATACAGTCACACTTGATGAGAACCTTACGTATGAAGAGGATCCGGTTGAGATTCTGGCTCGCGAGGTCCGTCAGTTGAGGAACAAAACCATTCCACTGGTCAAGGTTCTGTGGAGAAGTCACACCGTCGAGGAGGCGATATGGGAAACCGAAGAATCCATGCGCACTCGTTATCCACATCTTTTCAGTGACAGTGATCAGGTAAATTTCGAGGACGAAATTCTCTTAAGGGGTGGATAATTGTAACGCCCTGCAACCCGGTCTAATAGAGTTGATTATTTTAATTAATTAATTACTGTTCCGGACCGGAGTTGGGGAAATAAAAAGTTCTTAGAAAAATTATTTGATCACATCATTAAATTCATTTTGACTGTCTGATTCCAGAAACGCAAACGGATCTCAATTCAGACCCATTCGGGGGGAAAAGCGCGTACCGTTCAGGTCAGATTTTACATAACGGAGTAAAGTGAATATTTGTAACCTCCATCCAATTCACACGCCACCTTACTCATGCCCATTTAATTCCCCATTATTTTCTTCATTATTATTCTCATTTTAAAACCCCCATCCCATCCCTTTCCTCCACTTTTTGTAACCCCCATATTCAACACACACACTCTCTCTCTTCCCTTTCCTTTTGTTCGGCCAGACCAGTAGCAAGGAGGACCTCCGGCGAAGCTCCGGCGGGTGCAAGGTTGAAGGAGAAGAAGGGCAAGGCCGTTCGTGCGAAGCGTAGTCGTCGTTCATCCGTTCGTTGGTTCCTTGCTAACCGTTTGTTCATCTCGTCTCATAGTTTCGTCAACCCCTTCGTTAAGAGGTGAGTAGTTGTACCCTCTAACTCTAGAACATTTAGTTATAATCTATGTCGGTGTATTCATAGAAATATCGTACGCAACCTACGTAGAATCTATGCATGTTCTTAGGTTAACCATAAAAAAAACGTTGTAGAATTAATAAGGGAGAAATGTTCTGTATATTGAATTGTTCTTCCTAGTTGCAAGAGGTTTCTCCTGTAATTATAGAGAGGATAGATTCCCAAAATAGACAGGGGAATACAAATCCTACAAGGAAATGAATAAGCAATCAAACTAGGAGACAAACGAATCGAATTCGGTAATCTCAGGACCGGATTTCTCGGAAATCGGATTTCTCGGAAATTGGATTTCTCGGGAGTTGGATTTCTCAGAAACCGGAATCCTCGGAAATTGGATTTCTTGGAAAATGGATTTCTCAGAAAAACCGGATTTCTCGGAAATCGGATTTCTCGGAAATTGGATTTCTCGGAAATTGGATTTCTCAGAAACTGGATTTCTCGTAAGTTGGACTACTCAAAAACGGATTACTCGAGAACTAGAAATACATTCATCAAAGTTTTATTATCATAATTAATCCTCATTATTTTTGTTATATAATTGATGTATTCTCGGCATTTACCAAAGGTAAGAATATCAAGCATCCATCATGCTCATTCTAGACGCATGTTTTAGGTGTCATCATGTGCATACCGCTGTAGGGAGGACTTCGTGCGCCTACTACAGTGGGCCCGTCCAGGAACCCTTGGGGTCCAACGGGTTTTCATCATGTTGGGCTTGTGTACGTACATAGTAGTCAGGCTACGGCTACTACCCGGTTTTGCTAGTCCACTCGCAACATTTTCGTCGTGCCCGGCTCGTTACCGTTCGGGGACGATGACCGGAGTGTAGGGATGATCCTGTCGAGTGAGACTAAGTCAGGAGTGTCTAAGATAGTCAAGTCATGCATCAAGTCATATCATCATCACGTATGAACCAATCGCCTTGTTATTTGTAATAGCTCTAACGGGTGGAACTAAACAATTAGTAACATGGGGTTTTTCCCGTACGTTAAGTACAGGTATTAATATGTGTATAGCCATATGGGTTATCACTTAATGTTCTTTTGTTAGATTCACTCCTCAGCTTTTTGCTGAGCGTGTAGTTGTTTTTGCTACACGCAGGTAGACAAGACGGTACTGGTGCCAACCCTGGAGAGCAGTGACGATGGGGAGATGGGCGGCGCGCGGACAAGCTTATATTTAATCTCGTTTACTTAATTAATCATTTGGGCATGAACCCACCCTTGTCATTATTTATTTGGACTGGACTTATTTATTTACTTCCGCGTTTACTCCGCACTTTTATACACACGTTTTGGGAGTAACTCCCCGGCATTTATTTCACTAAATTAAGCACAACCGTTTTCTTATTAAATAGTCATTAATGTTTTTGTAACGGACGGTTCTCGGACTTTCCATGTAACCCTACCGGTCCGTTGGGTCGCGGGTGAACCGGGTCCACGTAGGGCGGGTGTTACACATCCTAGTACTAATATCACCCAAGCACGCTTAATTTCGGAGTTCTGATGGGATCCGATGCATTAGTGCTGGTATGATCGCACCCAACAAGTGTTGCGTGCATGATGTTCTTATTCCTAATCCGCCGGTATTGCTCATAGTTTAAGCAACAAACTTAACTTAAGAGTACTGATGGGATCCGGTGCATTAGTGCTTGTATGATCGATCCCATGATGCGCAATTTTAGTGGTCGAATTGGTAATACACGGGGTCGAAGACACACCCTATCGGTCTTGGGCATGTTTGCCCTCATCGTTAACCTTTTAGCGTGGTGATTATGCTGTTTTGGGGATAACATTTGCTAGGAGTGGCCGTTTTCAGCGTGCGAGCACTTTCCGGAAAGGTCTCAACGAGACGCACAGGGAGGGCGATGCTTCGGATACCCATCGGGGCTCAGTTTTGACCTTAATTTCGCTCGTTTCCGGGCCTCTGGCCTATTTTATGTTCAGCCCATTTATTTCTCGTTTCCTAGACCCGTTTTGACTTCTGTTCGTTTTGGGTTTCGGCCACCCTTGTTTTGTGTGGCTTCCCGACGCACTTTAGAAGTTCACGCAACCCTTTGTGCTCGCTAGACGGTTTTTAAAAGAATCAAGCACATAACTTGCAAAAAAATGATGAAAAGAACAAAAAGGGGTGCAACACGAGGACTTCCCAGGGGGTCACCCATCCTAGTACTACTCTCGCCCAAGTATGCTTAACTTCGAAGTTCTGATGGGATCCGATGCATTTTTAGTGGTCGAAATGGTAATACACGAGGTCGAAGACACACCCTATCAGTCTTGGGCATGTTTGCCCTCATCGTAACCTTTGAGCGTGGTGATTACGCTGTTTTGGGCATAACTTTTGCTAGGAGTGTTCGTTTTCAGCGTGCGAGCACTTTCCGGAAAGGTCTTAACGAGAAACACAGGGGGGCGATGCGTTGGAGACCCATCGTGGCTCAATTTTGACCTCAATTTCGCTCGTTTCCGGGCCGGTGGCCTATTTTATGTTCAGCCCAATTATTTCTCGTTTCCTAGGCCCGTTTTGACTTCTGATCGTTTTGGGTTTCGGCCACCCTTGTTTAGTGTGGCTTCCCGACGCACTTTGGAAGTTCACGCAACCCTTTGTGCTCGCTAGACGGTTTTTAAAAGAATCAAGCACATAACTTGAAAAAAAATGATGAAAAGAACAAAAAGGGGACACCCTATCGGTCTTGGGCATGTTTGCCCTCATCGTTAACCTTTTAGCGTGGTGATTACGCTGTTTTGGGCATAACTTTTGCCAGGAGTGTCCGTTTTCAGCGTGCGAGCATTTTCCGGAAAGGTCTCAACGAGACACACAGGGGGGCGATGAGTTGGAGACCCATCGTGGCTCAATTTTGCTCGTTTCCGGGCATGTGGCCTATTTTATGTTCAGCCCAATTATTTCTCGTTTCCTAGGCCCGTTTTGACTTCTGTTCGTTTTGGGTTTCGGCCCCCCTTGTTTAGTGTGGCTTCCCGACGCACTTTGGAAGTTCACGCAACCCTTTGTGCTCGCTAGACGGTTTTTAAAAGAATCAAGCACATAACTTGAAAAAAATGATGAAAAGAACAAAAAGGGGACACCCTATCGGTCTTGGGCATGTTTGCCCTCATCGTTAACCTTTTAGCGTGGTGATTACGCTGTTTTGGGCATAACTTTTCCTACGAGTGTCCGTTTTCAGCGTGCGAGCACTTTCCAGAAAGGTCTCAACGAGACGCACAAGGGGGCAATGCGTCGGAGACCCATTGGGGCTCAGTTTTGACCTCTATTTCGCTCGTTTCCGGGCATGTGGCCTATTTTATGTTCAGCCCATTTATTTCTCGTTTCCTAGGCCCGTTTTGACTTCTGTTCGTTTTGGGTTTCGGCCCCCCTTGTTTAGTGTGGCTTCCCGACGCACTTTGGAAGTTCACGCAACCCTTTGTGCTCGCTAGACGGTTTTTAAAAGAATCAAGCACATAACTTGCAAAAAATGATGAAAAGAACAAAAAGGGGTGCTACACGAGGACTTCCCAGGGGGTCATCCATCCTAGTACTACTCTCGCCCAAGCACGCTTAACTTCGAAGTTCTGATAGGATCCGATGCATTAGTGCTGGTATGATCGCACCCATCAAGTGTTGCGCATGATGTTCTTATTCCTAATCCCCCGGTATTGCTCATAGTTTAAGCAACAAACTTAACTTAAAAGTACTAATGGGATCCGGTGCATTAGTGCTTGTATGATCAATCACATGATGCGCAATTTTAGTGGTCGAAATGGTAATATATGGGGTCGAAGACACACCCTATCGATCTTGGGCATGTTTGCCCTCATCGTTAACCTTTTTGCGTAGTGATTACGTTGTTTGGGCATAACTTTTGCTAGGAGTGTCCGTTTTCAGCGTGCGAGCACTTTCCAGAAAGGTCTCAACGAGACGCACAGGGGGCGATGCGTCGGAGACCCATCGGGGCTCAATTTTGACCTCAATTTCGCTCGTTTCTGGGCCTGTGGCCTATTTTATGTTCAGCACATTTATTTCTCGTTTCCTAGGCCCGTTTTGACTTCTGTTCGTTTTGGGTTTCGGCCACCCTTGTTTTGTGTGGCTTCCCGACGCACTTTGGAAGTTCACGCAACCCTTTGTGCTCGCTAGACGGTTTTTAAAAGAATCAAGAACATAACTTGCAAAACATGATGAAAAGAACAAAAAGGGGGGCAACACGAGGACTTCCCAGGGGGTCACCCTCGTTTTGGATTTCGGCCACCCTTGTTTTGGGTGGCTTCCCGACGCACTTTGGAAGTTCACGCGACCCTTTGTGCTCGCTAGACGGTTTTTAAAAGAATCAAGCACATAACATGCTAAAAAATGATGAAAAGAACAAAAAGGAGTGCACACGAGGACTTCTTAGGGGGTCACCCATGCTAGTACTACTCTCGCCCAAGCACGCTAAACTTCGGAGTTCTAATGGGATCCGGTGCATTAGTGCTGGTATGATCGCACCCATCAAGTGTTGCGCGCATGATGTTCTTATTTCTAATCCGCCAGTATTGCTCATAGTTTAAGCAACAAACTTAACTTAAGAGTACTGATGGGATCCGGTGCATTAGTGCTTGTCTGATTGATCCCATGATGCGCAATTTTAGTGGGCGAAATGGTAATACACGGGGTCGAAGACACACCCTATCGGTCTTGGGCATCTTTGCCCTCATCGTTAACCTTTTAGCGTGGTGATTACGCTGTTTTGGGCATCACTTTTGCTAGGAGTGTCCGTTTTCAACGTGCGAGCACTTTCCAGAAAGGTCTCAACGAGACGCTCAGGGGGGCGATGCGTCGGAGACCCATTGGGGCTCAGTTTTGACCTCAATTTCGCTCGTTTCCGGGCATGTGGCCTATTTTACGTTCAGCCCATTTATTTCTCGTTCCTAGGCCCGTTTTGACTTCTGTTCGTTTTGTGTTTCGGCCACCCTTGTTTTGTGTGGCTTCCCGACGCACTTTGGAAGTTCACGCAACCCTTTATGCTCGCTAGACGGTTTTTAAAAGAATCAAGCACATAACATGCAAAAAAATGATGAAAAGAACAAAAAGGAGTGCAACACGAGGACTTCCCAGGGGGTCACCCATCCTAGTACTACTCTCGCCCAAGCACGCTTAACTTCGGAGTTTTGACGGGATTTGGTGCATTAGTGCTGGTATAATCGCACCCATTAATTGTTGCGCGCATGATGTTCTTATTCCTAATCCGCCAGTATTGCTCATAGTTTAAGCAACAAACTTAACTTAAGAGGACTGATGGGATCCGATGCATTAGTGCTTTTATGATCGATCCCATGATGCGCAATTTTAGTGGGCGAAATGGTAATACACGGGGTCGAAGACACACCCTATCGGTCTTGGGCATGTTTGCCCTCATCGTTAACCTTTTAGCGTGGTGATTACGTTGTTTTGGGCATAACTTTTGCTAGGAGTGTCCGTTTTCAGCGTGCGAGCACTTTCCGGAAAGGTCTCAACGAGACGCACATGGGCGCGATGAGTCTGAGACCCATCGGGACTCAGTTTTGACCTC